TATTGTTGCTGCCGCCATGTTGTGAAGGCGCTGTGTGTTTCGTTGTGAAAGCGAAACTACTTTGTTTGGGCTTCCAAAAATGGACACGACTAGGAATCAGTGGTTAAGTTGTATTTACAACACTGTTCCAGAACAGTTTAACCCAAATATTCAGATGTGTGCAGTGCATTTTATGGAGGACTGTTTCCTGATCCTGGTAGAGTAGACTACAATGCCGGCTGTTCTGACTCACAGCCTGTAAGTACGTTTTTTATATTTAAAGAGTTTTTATATTTTATATATTTAAAGCGAGTTTTTTGGGCAGTGTAGAGTAGTGCTTGTTGTTTGTCATTTCTCAAATGCAGACATGGTTTTATGTTTACGTGGCGCGATGCAACGCAACGCGTAAAAAGACAGTATGAGTCATTATAATCAGTAATTATGTCCCCACTGGATGCTACAAATGCCTCGTTTGTAATGGGTTTTCATGTTTTTGAATCATCGCTCCCGCCTGACAGGGCATCATCACAGTATGGTAGGGGCGTAACATTTCCGTCACATGCTTGAGGTATTCGGCCAATCACAACGCAGTGGATAGCTGGCCAATCACAGCACACCTCGCTTTTCAGAACGATTAGCTTTGTAAAAATCGACGCGTTTCAGAAAGGCGGGGCATAGAGGAGAAACAATAATATACAGTATGTGGAAAATAATGTGTTTTTTGAACCTTAAACCGCATAAACAGATTTCATTACACCAAATACACAAAATAATGTTCTTTTTAGCAACATCATATGACCCCTTTAAAAGTTCAATCCTAATTTTTCTTCCTGTCTAAACCAAAACTATTACAGCAAAATGTACCGATTTGAGTAATTAGGGAGGTTTCATGGGATTGGAGTAATTGATATCTGGTAGCTGCCTTAGCAACGTTCAAAACTGAATAAACAAAACACTCCTTAAAGCTGCAGTCCTTAAGTTTTGCCTCTTTGTCACCATATCTGTTTGAAAACCTGGAATTGCAGCTGTGTGTGGAATTATCTAGCTTGCGTAGGTTGTGAGTCGGCATGGCTCCAGCGCGGATGAATCTAATGTTCTGAAGAGTATGTGTGGCAGTCAGTCACTGCACCGGTGTGGATATTTACTGTACTTCACAATCACAGATTCTAGCCTACGTCTTGGAATATGACCCAAATAAGAATTTTCACCGTATATTGCCATCTGAACAAGTAAGTAACAAGTCTGCCACGTTTGTTCTGACCAACTGAGGAAAAAAGAATTGCCATAAATCTCGCTACCAATGGTGATTAAATCTAAAGATCGGTTACCTCATATCACATCAAACCGTTCAAATTATTATTATTGTTATACTTTATTCTCAAATCATTAATGTTAACAACATCAGCATTGGTGACTATGACTATAGTGTGTATTAGCGTGTAGATTTCAATTTCTGCACAGTCTAATCTAATTGTCATACTCTTCGAATTTCATATTAAGAAATTCTTTTAACCCAAAAAGCAAATTATGCTCCCTTCGAACTGGTTTTCTTTAAAATACAAATCTTTGTAATCCCAGGCTATCTGTAATCAGAAGCACATTTATAACTGGCATATAATTTAATTTCATTCACATGTGTTTCATAAACACATAATCCTTTATGGATTACAATCCGCCATCAAAATGATACATTTAATTATTCTGGCTGCTGTGAGAAAAGGCTATAAACGATCCGCCACCTGCAGGATCCTCACATGTGATAGCCTACTAGCTGGGACAACTTCTTTGTTTGCAGACGTGACGTAATGACGCAGTGCCATGCTCGAATTTCCTGCGAAAACCTACCCGTACCACTCAAATTAGAAAACATTATTATAAGCTAACCGTTGTGAATCGGGCTAAAGTAAGGCGATAGTTTTGAACACTGGCTGGTTATGTACTTGCTCAAATATTGATTTCAGATCATTTTTAACCAAAAAAAAGTTACGGACTGCAGCTTTAAGGTCATTTAGAGCTTCATTGACTATGTATGTTAGTGTTTCTTTGTTTTTACTCATTGAATTTTGACATTAAGCAGAGCTAAAACACATTTAGAGGAGTTTTTGAGGCCTTTAGCTTTTTGAGTAGTGTAATCATTATTTTGATATGGGATTACTATATGTATTTAATTAACATTAATATATGATTTGATTTAAACTTCAGTAATAGTTATAATAATGGACAATGGGCTCATGTTTTGGGCACTATATATTTTAATCTTGAAAAGATGTTTCAAGGTTCGCCATTTTGGAAAGTTACATTAACAGGTTGGTATCAGGATTGTCTGTTGTACTTAAAAATCTAAACAAATTCTACAGTAGGACATCCCAAACTAAAGTTTTTTATATGTATATTGTGATGTGATCTCTATTTCCTGTGCTGAAGGATGGTCTGCTCCTTCAGCCATTGGCATTGCTGGACTTGGTGGAGGATTTGAAATTGGCCTGGAGGTAAGATGTTTTTCTGTTCTAAAAAACAACCAATTTGTCATAATTAAAGAAGTTTATGGTATACCAGGTATATATTGGGTTAACTATGAGAAGCTATGAGAAGGTCTTTTTGTCAAAATTCCTCTTGGCTTTTTTGGTATGTTTTTGATAGTTATTTTTTTAATTATAAAAAGATAATGAATGATCATCTTATGGCATCTAAAATTAAGTGTTGACACATTTTATAGGCTTAACCCTAGGTAAGGTAGTAGATGTAAAAAAAAAATCTGTGCTGAGTCAGGTGTTCAAGAACAGTTATGCAGCAGGTTTATTCATGTATCAGATGAACATTCTGGACTACACTATGCTATAATATGCCTATGGATTATGTTTTATATGTAGACATATATGTGCTTCATCAGGGTATAATTTCTAAATTACTTCACTTGCAATGTCATGCAAAAAATATGTTTTCTTTCTGTCAAGATTGTCTGAGTCATGCATAGACAAGAACAACAAGACATTGAAATATTTGCCCTCTCTGACTTGGCTGTCTTGTTTTGTATTTCTTTTTCGTTCCATCATCTCCTTAAGAAAACGTGTTATTAGAGATGTCAATCAATTAGATTTTTGAATTAGGAATAATCTCATAGTTTTAACTATGAAGAAAACCAATAAATGTTCTTAAATAAAAATAAAAAAATAGATCTTTGTGTAATTTGTAACTTTGGCGGGGAAAAAACATAATTAAGCAACTGTCTCCAAACTTTATTCATCTTGTAAAAAAGTTTTTGTGGTTGATCTGCAAATGACTTTATTTTGTTATTTTGTTAAATAAATTACCTGTAAAGAGGGTCCATCATTTACTAATAAACAGGTGCTCCCCATAATAATTATAAATTTTCTTTTTGATTTTAAGTAAAGTCACATTAGCAGTAAGTTTACTATGAATCTTACATGGTGTTGTGCTAAAGCATGACAATAATGAATTACTCATCACAACCTTTTTCCTAAATCAGAGGTCAGCCTTTTGTCTGGAGCTGTTTGTATCTCAAGTGCTGGCTTCATCATTTTTCAGTGCATAAAGTGGATCCTTCTATCCCTGGCACAGGAAATCACTGTGCTTGTGTCCAGTTGAGGTCATTTGTCAGCATCAGGCAGAAGTTGCACTTTTTTTTCCGCTGACCTTGGGTTGTAGCTCGGATGAGTCATTTGTGTACCGAGCGCCTGTGCATCTTGACAGTCTTGATTAATTTCTCAAGTAGCCTTCAGGCACAGTGGTTAGCTCTGCGGTGTCTGTCTCTCAGTAAGTAGCGACGCACCTGATAAGTAGCAAGGGAGTACAGGAAGTATCGATTTTATCTTTAGGCATTAAAACCAGAGCATGTCTGAAAGCGGTCCAAATGTTTCGACACCAACCAGAATTTAAAAAGCATAAAAACTATTGCTGAATATAGTGCTACTTTTTAATGTTTTGCTGGTGACAGATGAACAATAGTTGGCAGGGTGCTTATCAGAGTGCTGTATAGCTAGATTGTGCATGAAGGACAGACTTGACTAATAACTAACATCACATGGTCTGGTGCTTAAAAAAAAAAAACCTAATCTGATTTTGTAAATAGTGAGAGAAAATCACTAAAAGAGTGATATCAGTTGTGAGACTTGAATAGGCAGTTCTGAGTATCTGGTGAAATGTGTGAGTGTTTTAGGGCTGGGTGGTATGATGGAACTGCATACAGTATATCATGCAACAGTGGAAATATGCCGTAGAGATTCTGCTATATTTTTTTGGCACAATTTTAAAAATCCTACAAGCAGAAAACCCTACAAAGTTGATTAAATTAACTGATTATAATTATTTCATTTTTATTTCTATTTAGGTGAAGGAACAGATTAAGTGATGCCCAACTTGTAATAACAATAAAAAAACTAATAAAAATATTAATTAAATATTACATTGAATTTAATATAAGACTTTCTTTGAAAATTTAATTTAATTTACCTTTCTAGCTTAGACTTTCTTTGAAATGACAGCCCCTGGTTACTCTTCACTTTCATTCTAATGTTAAAAAAATAAAATAAAAATCTTGTTGTGTAAAAGTCATTTTTGGGTGAACCGTCCTTTTAAGGCTTCACACAAAACATGACATATGTTTTCTTTTTTCATCTCCAGGCATCAGATTTTGTCATCATCCTGAATCAGAGGAGAGCTGTGGATGCTTTTAGTAAAGGGGGCAATCTTACACTTGGAGGAAACTGCACTGTGGCTGTTGGGCCTCTTGGCAGGTATGCAAGTTGATGTTACAGTGTAGTACCAAATTCTGTTGCCAGGGGACAGAAGAGAGGCAATAACGTAGAGTGAAGTTTTGGAAACTTGGGTGCTTTGAGCAAATGTCCACTGTTAAGTATCAGTGTTGTAATATGAAATGACACTTTTATTACTAAAGTGTTTTATTTTTTTTGTGTCTGGATGCATCAGTGTCACTTGGCTGACTTTTGATTAAAATCAAAGGTTATGGCTTAAGGGAGAAAGGTTTGATTTATGTTCAGCAATTGATATTATGATAGTTTTTTTTTTATGTTACTGTAAGTGCTGCCAGGGCTATGTGGACATGAATGAGAAAAGGATTGTGCAGTCCTTGAGCTCTTGTGAGCTTCATTATGTTTCATTCATTTGTAAATAGACTGTTGATGCCCATTTCTTTGGAGAGAGTTTTTAAAGTGTTTACATAGGTGATGGAGGGCTTTCACAACATTAATTTAAGGTATAAATAAGCTTTCTAATGTTTTTAAACTGTAGTTTTGGTGCATTTATGAATGGCAATGAAGGAAAACCTTTTCCTTTTGCTGAAAGCTAAATATAAAATCAACAGAATAGAAAAGCCATATACTTTTTCTCTGATGATATGTTTATACAAAAAAATGTATACAGTTGTCAGCTGCCAGTTTCAGCTTTCACCTACAACACAGTCATTCATAATTTGACAAGCATGAGCCTGTGCGGAAAATACTGCGCAAATTATAGATAATGACAGGTGTCCATGCTGTACATTAGGAGCCATTCAAAAGTGCTAGTTTAAATGACAGCTGCATTGTTCTAAGGTGAATCAGTGATTTTACTCTTTATTGATGGATTCTGCTGTGTTTGTGCTTGGAAAGTCCTTTTTTATTCTCACTGCTTTAAATGTTGTTAATGGATCTTGCCGGAATAGACCTGTAAGCGATATTGTACTGAATGGTTGCCAGCTGCACTACAGTAGCTTTGAAAACTAGGACTGAAGATTCCACTTAATGTGGATGTGTTTGATTTGTTGGCTTAGATTAGATGGGGTTTGGATTTGGTTTGGCAGCAATGACTGCAGGGTGTATGTGCTCTTTGAAATTAGTTATTTTTGGAATAGAACCTTCTTACCACCTACTATAAGACATTTTATATAAATGTCACATCTCATTATTTTAATAAAATAAACGTTTGCATCAAAATCAAGATCTCTTTTAAGAACATAGTTATTAATTGGACAATGGAACTTGGACATTTTATAAACATTTTAAAGGGGTTTGTGTAATATTTGTGAAATAAAAAAATTTATGGAATACTGTTAATTTTACAACTGAAAATAATTTCATTGGTTCGTAAGCTTAGTTTATTGAAATTAAGCTACTTTGGCCATTCCTTTGGCTTGATCTTCATAGTTTGTGAGGGATGTTTGAACATGGAAATGGTAATGAAATTAAATGGCAATTAAATATTAAATTAATCCAAAGTAACAATAAAGACACAGTAGGGTTGTTACAAAAGATTTCTGTTTCAAATAAATCCTGTTCTTTTGAACTTTCTGTTAAATTAAACAAAAATAATAATTCACTGTTTCCACAAAAATATTAAGCAGCACAACTGTTTTCTGCTGAAAATAAAGCTTTGCCATCACAGGAATAAATTATTATTTTTTAAATATAATCAAATAGAAAGCTATTATTTTAAATTGTAATAATATTTCACAATATTACTGTTTTTGCTGTGTTTTTATTAAATAAATTCAGCCTTGGCATAAAGTGGATCCTTCTATCCCTGGCACAGGAAATCACTGTGCTTGTGTCCAGTTGAGGTCATTTGTCAGCATCAGGCAGAAGTTGCACTTTTTTTTCCGCTGACCTTGGGTTGTAGCTCGGATGAGTCATTTGTGTACCGAGCGCCTGTGCATCTTGACAGTCTTGATTAATTTCTCGAGTAGCCTTCAGGCACAGTGGTTAGCTCTGCGGTGTCTGTCTCTCAGTAAGTAGCGACGCACCTGATAAGTAGCAAGGGAGTACAGGAAGTATCGATTTTATCTTTAGGCATTAAAACCAGAGCATGTCTGAAAGCGGTCCAAATGTTTCGACACCAACCAGAATTTAAAAAGCATAAAAACTATTGCTGAATATAGTGCTACTTTTTAATGTTTTGCTGGTGACAGATGAACAATAGTTGGCAGGGTGCTTATCAGAGTGCTGTATAGCTAGATTGTGCATGAAGGACAGACTTGACTAATAACTAACATCACATGGTCTGGTGCTTAAAAAAAAAAAACCTAATCTGATTTTGTAAATAGTGAGAGAAAATCACTAAAAGAGTGATATCAGTTGTGAGACTTGAATAGGCAGTTCTGAGTATCTGGTGAAATGTGTGAGTGTTTTAGGGCTGGGTGGTATGATGGAACTGCATACAGTATATCATGCAACAGTGGAAATATGCCGTAGAGATTCTGCTATATTTTTTTGGCACAATTTTAAAAATCCTACAAGCAGAAAACCCTACAAAGTTGATTAAATTAACTGATTATAATTATTTAATTTTTATTTCTATTTAGGTGAAGGAACAGATTAAGTGATGCCCAACTTGTAATAACAATAAAAAAACTAATAAAAATATTAATTAAATATTACATTGAATTTAATATAAGACTTTCTTTGAAAATTTAATTTAATTTACCTTTCTAGCTTAGACTTTCTTTGAAATGACAGCCCCTGGTTACTCTTCACTTTCATTCTAATGTTAAAAAAATAAAATAAAAATCTTGTTGTGTAAAAGTCATTTTTGGGTGAACCGTCCTTTTAAGGCTTCACACAAAACATGACATATGTTTTCTTTTTTCATCTCCAGGCATCAGATTTTGTCATCATCCTGAATCAGAGGAGAGCTGTGGATGCTTTTAGTAAAGGGGGCAATCTTACACTTGGAGGAAACTGCACTGTGGCTGTTGGGCCTCTTGGCAGGTATGCAAGTTGATGTTACAGTGTAGTACCAAATTCTGTTGCCAGGGGACAGAAGAGAGGCAATAACGTAGAGTGAAGTTTTGGAAACTTGGGTGCTTTGAGCAAATGTCCACTGTTAAGTATCAGTGTTGTAATATGAAATGACACTTTTATTACTAAAGTGTTTTATTTTTTTTGTGTCTGGATGCATCAGTGTCACTTGGCTGACTTTTGATTAAAATCAAAGGTTATGGCTTAAGGGAGAAAGGTTTGATTTATGTTCAGCAATTGATATTATGATAGTTTTTTTTTTATGTTACTGTAAGTGCTGCCAGGGCTATGTGGACATGAATGAGAAAAGGATTGTGCAGTCCTTGAGCTCTTGTGAGCTTCATTATGTTTCATTCATTTGTAAATAGACTGTTGATGCCCATTTCTTTGGAGAGAGTTTTTAAAGTGTTTACATAGGTGATGGAGGGCTTTCACAACATTAATTTAAGGTATAAATAAGCTTTCTAATGTTTTTAAACTGTAGTTTTGGTGCATTTATGAATGGCAATGAAGGAAAACCTTTTCCTTTTGCTGAAAGCTAAATATAAAATCAACAGAATAGAAAAGCCATATACTTTTTCTCTGATGATATGTTTATACAAAAAAATGTATACAGTTGTCAGCTGCCAGTTTCAGCTTTCACCTACAACACAGTCATTCATAATTTGACAAGCATGAGCCTGTGCGGAAAATACTGCGCAAATTATAGATAATGACAGGTGTCCATGCTGTACATTAGGAGCCATTCAAAAGTGCTAGTTTAAATGACAGCTGCATTGTTCTAAGGTGAATCAGTGATTTTACTCTTTATTGATGGATTCTGCTGTGTTTGTGCTTGGAAAGTCCTTTTTTATTCTCACTGCTTTAAATGTTGTTAATGGATCTTGCCGGAATAGACCTGTAAGCGATATTGTACTGAATGGTTGCCAGCTGCACTACAGTAGCTTTGAAAACTAGGACTGAAGATTCCACTTAATGTGGATGTGTTTGATTTGTTGGCTTAGATTAGATGGGGTTTGGATTTGGTTTGGCAGCAATGACTGCAGGGTGTATGTGCTCTTTGAAATTAGTTATTTTTGGAATAGAACCTTCTTACCACCTACTATAAGACATTTTATATAAATGTCACATCTCATTATTTTAATAAAATAAACGTTTGCATCAAAATCAAGATCTCTTTTAAGAACATAGTTATTAATTGGACAATGGAACTTGGACATTTTATAAACATTTTAAAGGGGTTTGTGTAATATTTGTGAAATAAAAAAATTTATGGAATACTGTTAATTTTACAACTGAAAATAATTTCATTGGTTCGTAAGCTTAGTTTATTGAAATTAAGCTACTTTGGCCATTCCTTTGGCTTGATCTTCATAGTTTGTGAGGGATGTTTGAACATGGAAATGGTAATGAAATTAAATGGCAATTAAATATTAAATTAATCCAAAGTAACAATAAAGACACAGTAGGGTTGTTACAAAAGATTTCTGTTTCAAATAAATCCTGTTCTTTTGAACTTTCTGTTAAATTAAACAAAAATAATAATTCACTGTTTCCACAAAAATATTAAGCAGCACAACTGTTTTCTGCTGAAAATAAAGCTTTGCCATCACAGGAATAAATTATTATTTTTTAAATATAATCAAATAGAAAGCTATTATTTTAAATTGTAATAATATTTCACAATATTACTGTTTTTGCTGTGTTTTTATTAAATAAATTCAGCCTTGGAGCCTTTAAAAAAAAAAAAACATTTGTAAATAATTGAAACTATAGGCCTAATAGAAAAAAATGGCCCTATTGTATGTATTTCTTTAAATGAGGATTCCCAACAAATACCAGTTGTTATAACACTGAAAATTGTGCATAGTTTCATCTTCACAGTCGATTTTACTATGAGCTTTGTCTGTGTAGTGTTTATTCCTTGCATATATACAAGTCTGACTAAGCATCTTTGACAGGAATTTGGAGGCAGATGTGGCGTTTCGCAGTACAGCGGCTGTCTACTCATACTGCAAATCTCGTGGCCTTTATGCTGGAGTGTCTCTTGTTGGTTCTTACCTCATCGAACGCAAAGAAACCAACCGAAAGTAAGCACGTTGCAGTGTTACAGGTTAAAGAGTTTAATTGTTACATTAAAGCCCTCGGGCACTGATGTTACCTCGCATGCTGACCTACTTTGTGTTTTCATTGTGTTACAGTTTCAATATCTAATGTGGGCTTTACTTTTGATTAGGTTTTATGGCCAAGACATTCGTGCTTCTGCTATTCTCAATGGAGATGTGGAACCCCCACCAGAAGCATATGATTTGTACACCATTTTGCAGGACTACACAGAGAAATACACCACCGACTGGCAGAACAAACACATGCAAGCCTCAAGCAAGGTCAATGTCTGTGTACTACTGCCCCATGTTGGGAAAACATATTTGAAACCAAAGCTTACTGAGCTACAAGCTATGCTACTCATAATTTTGTAGCACTACACAATAATGCCCCATTAACGTTAGTAAATGCATTAACTAATATTAATTAACTATGAGCAATACATGTGTTACAGTATTTATTAATCGTAGTTAACATTAGTTAATAAAAATACAACCGTTCGTTGTTAGTTCACCTCACATCCATTAATTAACATTAACAGATACAACTTTTGAGTTCAATTATTTATTAGTAAATATTGGGATTACCATTAACTAAGATTAATACATTTGTATTTGTACTTTTTTATTGTTAGTTTAACAAATGTAGTTAAGAAATGTTAACAAATAAAACTTTATTGTAAAGTGTTACCCATAATTTACAGTAGTTTAAAAACAGTTCTGCTACTCTTTTGAAAAAAACTGCAAGATACTACATCATTAAATCTATGAACTATATATCTATAAAATAAAATAATGTAAAATATCTGGTGATTTTTAACATTACGTTTTAATTTAATCAGAGTTGTACATTTTGAACTTCAATGTGTACATTTACAATAAATACATAAAAAATAGTGATGAAGAGTGGCATTTAACCAAATACTTCACTTTCACTAAATATTTTCAATAAATATTCTAAAAAGCAGGACAGGCACTCGAAACATGAATTGTTTATGAACTGTGAACAATTTCTTATCATTTAATCTTGTCATTTACATGAACTGTGTCTGAACAAACTGATTCACTAGAGTGAATCAAAGTAGATGAATCAGTATGAATGACTTTACAGCTGAAAGAGAGAGGTCACGGTTTAGTCACAAATTCCCAACATTTTATCAAATTTAGAAGAATTTTCGACATCATGTTGAATTTAAATATTTGTTTTTTCAAGATCATAGTGTACAGCAATGAAGGATTTAATGAAAACATTTCCAAATAGCACACTGTTGAAATATTCTTACAGGACAATTACACCACTAATTTGCATCAACAGATTAGCAACAAAAATAAATATTCCTCACCCATTCAGTTACTCTTTTGCTCTGTTTAAATTGCATGTGCGATTTGCCATTGCATGCTGAAATATCACATTAATTTGACTGACAACATCACTCATCTTTTCAAGATTACTTAAAGCTACTACAACATAGTTACTATAACCTCATTGTACTTGATGGGATTTTAATTCACACTTATTTTCCGCTTACTCAAATCTTTTTTCCGCAGGCAAATTAGCAAATCTTATGACTATTTTGTTCATTTGAGTCGGTGATACACAAATTGCAAATAGGAAGTAACCCTTCTAGTGGCAAACATTAAAGTACAAACTTCCTTCACAAGAATGAGGTAGTTTGGAATAAATAAATAAAGCATGAGAGGTATAATCTGTTGACAAAATCTTTCAGCACATTAGAAGGTGATAGTGAGTTTCATTTGATGGCTACTATAAATCAGACTACCATAAAACACTGTAGATGACAGTAATATAGGCTTTCCACTTGTGGTCTCATGAAATCAGATCAAAACAACTCAAGGGATTCCCTATCATAATATCGAGTATGAAATTCCCGTTAGATTATAAATTCAAATGAAGCAAAATGAATAGTTACAGTGCATATAATGTTTTGAGATCTCAAAGGTCTGTATGTGTATGGCACAATATGACACTATTAGAAATGCAGTGCATGTTCAGCTTTTACTGCAATTCAGTTCATATTTAAGGTGCAAACTGAGTTAACATACTGATTCAGATTTACAAAAAAAAAACTTGACTTGAACTAATAGAATTTTTTTTTACGGCATCAGTGCCAGTCTCTGTTTATCAAGTTCGCTGGGTGAGAGACAAGTCTGTTGATGTATTTTCGGGTGTCTTTGTTTTCGCAGATGAGTTCAGCACCAGCTAGACCAAGGCCTCCCTCACAGAGAGCTGCCTCCTCTTACATACCCAAGGCACAAGGTAAGACCCCGAGTGACCTCTCAAATCCTCACACCATTCATCTTTTAGAGTAGAAATTACTGACTGAACTTGTGCTGTTGTAATATTGGAGGAAAGTTGCAATATCCTTGCCTCTGACATTGAGAGACTTGTTTATGTTTGTGTTGATAAAAAGTCATATTTTCACAGCTTCTGCAGCTGTGAAGCCAGTTCTATATCCAAGCTTAGACAACTGGGATACCGAAAGCTCAGGTGAGTGCATTTTATTTTATTTTTTTTATTTTATATTTAATTTTTTTTGTATTTATTTTATTTTTTATATTTTTACATTTTATTTCAGGTCAAGTCCTTAAGAAAATATAATTAAAAGGTTTCTGTCAAGAACAAAATAGTTTGTTTATTTCTGTTAACACAAGCCTCCCACACAGCTAATAAAACCATGAGAAGTCTTGAAGTATGTTTTTCCCTCCTTAAATGGAATTATGCTTATTGTTAAAAAAGAGACTTCACACCTGCAACTATGGTAATAAACTAACAGAGGAGGAATTTGCTGTATGTTTTGTATCCCACCCTGCGTGTTCAAGCGTATTATCAAGCCGAATATCCGAACAAAAGGGTTTATTCCTTCTGTATATGATGAGGTTAATCAGACACTTTTTAAAACAACAAGAAATACCTTTGAGAATAAAGATGACAATGTGGTCATGCATTTCAGTTGACACTGATAAATTATAAAGTGGATTAAAACAGCTAGATTAGCAACGGCTAATTAAATAGCAGAAATGCACGAGAAGAAACACCCAGTGCTGTGTGAGATCCTTTCATTAATCAGCTCAGCCTTTGGGCTGGAGGATGATTTGTGTTGTCGTCAATTCAACTCCACTAACAGTCTCATTTATTTTCATTAGGTTCCTAAAGGCCCGTGTTTAAAGTTGAATTATAGGGATTAGATAAAATCATGCTATGGAGTGGCTTCGCCTGCCTTGTTTCGAGAAAAGCCACTCTGACTGGCTGGGAAGATTTCAAAAGGAGCCATGAACTGGAGACTGGCTGTTTTTCCATCTTCCTGTACTCCGGAAGGGCCTCGATGCTCTTTGCCATGTCACAAGTCAGCTACGCAGCAAACATATTCTTTCCCACAGCGAGATGACATTATCATCCGTGAGGGGAGAGATTTTAAAGGCCACTTGCTATGTGTGTGTTTGTGAATTGATTCTGGACTGATGGATTTTGTCACATACACACCCAAGCATCAAAAGATTTGGCAGCCTCCCTGTCCTTTAAATAGGAAAAACTTGGAGGAGGCGATGTCTTGGATCTCCGCAAGTCCTTAAGGCTATTTTATTGCTAACAGTACATTTTATTCCCAACTAAACAGCAGAAGGGTCCTTTAGTGTGGCAGCATCTTTAGTGCACAAGTATAAATGACAGCAATGATTGATCATGAGAACATTATAATAATAACATTACACACTGACTTTATGTTCAGGGCAGCCAACAACAGCACTCAACACTCGAGGGAGATTATAGTGGGTTCTGCTCGTACAGGACAACTGAAACGAATTAAATGCTTGTCTCTAAACTGTTAATTAAAAGAACCTTCTCATAACCCTCTGAAAAAACCATCTTCAACCAACCTGAGTTGATTTTGTTGGTCTTATTTCGCCTTTCAGCCTTGTTATGCTGGTTTGTTGGCTGGTTTTAGAAGAGTTTGGGCACTTTTCAGGCAGTCAGGCTGAGAGCTAGACCAGATAAAAACCATCCTTAAAATATTGTCAAGACCGGAATGCATCCAGTCTGAGGATATGAAACTTGTTTGATATTTTGAGCCGATTTTAGAATTTTTAATTGGTCATGCATCTACTAGCAAAAAAGGTGCATGTTTTGTTGTATTTCGAATGCTTGAACCTCTGGAAGTTTGCGATGCTCAGTCTTTTAGTGTATGATGCCTAGTTTTTCTCTGTAACCATTTACAAAGTCGGCAAGTGTATGAAGCCTAGTGTTTTAAAATCTGTTCATATTTTAAAAGTATGTATTCCAGTCTTTTCAACAGGAAAAAGTCATTGAGCTATACTGGTCGTGTTGACCAGTACAACTCGACAGTAAAGTTTATTGCAGTTGTTCGGTGGTACGTAGCCTTTTATTGTATTTTATTTACAACGTTTTGGTTGTGATGTTGAATATTCCAATTAATAACTGAGGGCTATAACTTAAGTATACAACTGTTTCAGTCCATCGTGGCCATTGCAAGCTGGAGGGAAAACTGTGTGAATATACTTGTATGTGTTTGTGATGGTGTCAGGGGTCTTCTTGGGTCCTTCATGGTCAGAAAGAAACCCCACAAGAAAAGCAGGAGTGCCTTCAGAACATTGCATCTCTCTTAGAAGTCCATGTTGAGAGGTTGTTTTTGCTTCTGGTGTCCCTGACTTGTGCAACTGCAGTTCATTCAGTGTGAGCGAATGACGCTATGAGAGAGGGCAATCAAGCGTTCAAAGGCTAACATAAACTAAAGACACATTCTGTGATCGTAGATAAATGACGTGGGGTTTGTTGTGCCAGGTAAAGTCGTTCTTGAATGCATGGATGCCAACAGTCAAACATATCGCCTTTGCCACTAAAAAAGTTGGCTGTACATTTGCCTTCTTTTTAATTGCTTAAATGAGTGATACTTAATTCACTTGCACATTAATTGAAACAGTAATTCCTTGTCAAAATGCACACAAGTTGACTCGTTGAAAATAGCTAAAATTAGATTGAAAACTAAATTGATATGTGCATTTTAATATCATCTTCGCTTCTCTCACTCAAAACGGCAGATTGAAGCATGCGTTAGAATGATTAGCTGATATCCCTCATTTCCTGTGTTTACTCTTTAATTAATTTAGATGCTATTATGGTGCATTTATTCGTTATTTTTAACTCTGTTGATTCAGATGTGTAAATGAAGTTAATTGATTGAAATGTGCGCGTGCCTCAGCATGATTCAGACAGTTAGAGACTGCTGTAGACAAGGTTTCATTGTTCGTGTCTCCTTCAGGTGGGAATAGGTTTCCAGTTCCCCTCTGTGATGTTTAATTACCGGATTTTGTCAAATTACATGTTAATATTCTACTAGTTGATAACAGTCATTCAAAATCAATAATTGCCTGGCAACCTAAATAATGTGTCGAGTTTCAACTGTCAACTGCATAAGACACCAAACCATCAGCCAACAGCAATCTTTTGGCTAGATGTGGATGTGTAAGAGAGCCAGGTGAATTATACAGGGACTAGATATTGTTAGCCAACTACTTGACATGTCTTTCAACAGCCAGTTGTCGTTGCTTAATTCTGGATAAGTAGACAGGTACATCTGTTGTATGTCAAAGCATGGCATTGGATGACTTCATCAAAATCAGGACAACAGATGCCACTCTTTTTATTTTGTTAACTTATATTGGCACAGAAAAACCGTATAGACCAATGCAAATGCGGAGAGTACTACGGATTAAGGGGCCGTTCATAAATATTTTTTATTTTATTTTTTATTTTTTGCTTTGAAGACAAGACATGCAGTAATTGGGAAAAACCATGAGTTCTCAAAACTATTTTTTTTAAAACTTATTTTATTTTAAATGTAACTTATTTTAACTTGAGCATTTGCATCTTTAGAACACAGAATCTTGTGCGAGTCAACGCAAAATAGGCGAGGTCAAACGTGTCCATCTAGTATGTGTTGAAAAGTAGGAAAGTAGTGCATGGAATGGAAGAACGCATTTAGCCCTAATTTTGGTGGTTGTTTTTAACAAGTGTTTCCCAAACACTTCCGCTGTCTGCCATTGGTCGAACAAACAGATATCCCCACCCCAAACTCCTGTTGACCCAATGTTGCTGTTGTCGGGGTGGGTGGGATGTTTTGAAAGTGCCTCAGAGACACAGTATTTACACTTTCAGTAGAATAAACATACAAATGACTTACTTTTAAGTTGTCCTTGAATTTTAAAGGGATAGTTCAGAAAAAAATCTAAATCTAATCTAAAAATTAATTCTGTTATCATTTACTTTACCCTAATTTTATTTGTGTTCCACAAAAGAAAGAAAGTCAGGTTTGTTATAATTTCTTTCTTCTGTGGAACACAATAGATATAAAAAACAAAATTGTCCCAGTGTCTGCCATTGGTCAAACAAACTGACGGCACCGCCCCAAACTCATGCCATTGGTTGTGCCAGTGTTGCACTTGTCTGGCTGGTTGAAATGTTGAAAAAAAAACAAAAAAAAAACAGTGTTTACACATTAAGTGAAATAAACATACAAATATCTTACTTTTAAGTTGTGTGTGCATAGTAAAGGGATAATACAGCTAAAATGGTTTCTGTTATCATTTACTCCCCCTTATATCATTTTATGATTTCATGTCCAGTGTTGTTTCGGACCCCATTGACATTGTATTGACTGAGAAAAATGCCTACGGGTTTGGAAATATGTTTTTGGGTGAACTATCCTTTTAACCTTGGATAGAATTGGATTTTAACATTGGGGAAAAACACTTTAATTAAATGGTTTGGAGGGAACTACTTTTGTTTTGATATGCGTTCTGTCCACTTTCGTAAAAGTTGCAGATGTGTTACTAAAAAGACTCCATCATGATATGATAAAGCTGACTACAGTCTTTCGATGATGAGTCAAGGAGATACTCAACTGTATTGTTACAAGCTGGAAAAAAAACTCCTTGGGTGTGTGTTCACATTGCTTGTTATTTTACTGGCAGACATTTCTCTCCCCCTAATTATCATGATATCATTTGTGAAAAATGAGACCTGGAAAACTCTCACTCCTCACTGTTTCATTAACACTCCTTCCCCTGAAGATCATTATAGCTGTAAATAATATTTAGATGGATCCCTGGCCTTAGGAAAAGGTGGTTAGAGAGCCACCCTGATTTCTAAAGACTCTTTTTGTCTCTAAAGGGAAACTGTTTTATGAGGTTTTGATTTGTTAAGTGTAATGGCACATTGAGCAGCTGTTGTACAGGTTTCTCTGATACATCCCGCTTTCCTTTTGGAATGAAAAGTGAATCCAGATTGTCAATTGTTAATCAGGTCTTTTGTACTCCACCATAACCAGGTGCCAGCGATTATCTATGGTTACATCAATTGGATTTGTTCACTGTATACCTGATAGGACTTAGCTAACCCTCCAATCTGAGATTTATAGCAGCAGAGAGGAGAAATGGCAGGCCCTCCTTCCTGTCATGAGCTGTCACTTTTTCAGGTATTGCGTGTGCAAGTAGAAAACCGCATAGCTCAGATGTCACCACTCTGCCAAAATACACAGCCCTTCCAGATCTGAAGAAACTCTCTGGATTGTATTGCTGTCTTGCGCCCGGCTTGTCATGTCTTGCACTTGTGGTAGCGGGAATGAACATTATGTTGAATGGATGCAGTTATTTTAGGATACAAGTCAAAAGCATTTAGTGTGAAAAACGGCTCGACTGAAGCTTTTGGCAACGCCTGAGGTTTATTTGGAGTCAGGAGATTTCAGAGCAGGTGCCAACAGTGTGAAACCACATTCCACTTCTGTCTGATTCCCTGCTCCTCTCTCATATGTCTTCTTCACTCATGAAAACCCCTTGCCACCCGTTTCCCCCCATTTTCCCAGCAAAGTTAATCGTATCATTCAGTGAAGCTCGATGCATGTTGAATGTCACTCTGCTTATATTGATACATGAATGATAGACTGAAACCACATTGGAAATCTGGAATTCAAAATCTGTTTTAAATATATAAAGTTGTGTCATATATCTGAGTGAAACTGATTATGGACAAGAAAAATGTAGTCTCTGGGGACTTTGTTTTGTCCATCGGTTGTTGGATCTGAATGCAAGCTTGCAGTTGATTGTAAAAAAGGGATGGGGTTTAATCGGATGAATTATTGGAGAAGTCCGATATACATAACCGGAAGATTAGGTCATGACATTTTGATTAAAAATTACAAGACCTAATTAATTAATTAATTGATTAAACATGCACGGATGAATTCTTTACATTAACATGCATTTAGTAAGGGTGCAGCTTTAAGCAACCCTATGTAGTTTTGTGTAATTTTGCGACTTTGGTGCCCCCTGCAGTTAAGTGGGTGGAATTCACTGTCGTATTTACAGATAGCTGTACACCTGCATTTGTTGCTGCGGTAAAGCAATCCATGGAATTTCGTAGCAGTCCACCAAATTTACATACAGTACTTCCAGAAAAGGCATGGGGGAAGCATGGGAACAGGGTTGCCAAATCCACGTTGTTGTTGTTTTCGCAGAATTGGGCTACTTTTACACTGTTTGCCACAAATGTCAAATGTATTTTTTTTCTTTTCTCTTACTTTTAATTGGCTAAGAAATACACTGCTGGACAATAACCAGTCATTTGTATTCTATAATATTTTTTCCTGTATTTAATGACAATTTTATGATTGGTTTATATACTACAAACACTTTTTTCCATTTTTATCACAGATTAAGGCAGAAATATATTTGTTATTTTCTAGACTACTGTAATAAATGATATGTCAATTAGCACCGCATTATTCATATACATTATATATTTATTACCTAGAGATGACTTGAAAAACACACATAAACCATGTATTGTCGCAATCATGTGTTTATTGTCTTCACGTTTCATCAGTCAAAACATTTCTGCTTTTTATGCTCAGCTACAGCCATAGTTGGATGCCTTCGTCCATTTTAGGGATTTCCTGGCACGTCATAAGTTATTACTTCTATGAGTATGTTTTGGACTTTCCCTCCGGCTTAGAGTATGAATAAAACATACACTGTGGGGCAGGGGCGTAGCCATCATTTCAGAAGTGAGGGGGACAGAAATGTTATATATATATACTCTTTGAATTTAAATCTATATTTATTCACACCTGCTCTTGAAAACCTCTATGCGAACACACTTGCCCGAAAAAGTGCGGGGGACGAATTTACGTGATATTAAAAGTGGGGGGGGGCACGTCCCCCGCGTAATATACGCCCCTGCTGTGGGGACGAATTTACGTTTTATTAAAAGTGCCCAGCATATTCTACAGCCATGCGCGGGATAAAACTCCCCCTCCCCCTCCCAATTTTGGCCTAGTTTTGATGGCTGGTTTTGTTTCGCACACCTGGCAACCCTGCATGGGAAAGAAACAAAAACCATTCGCCTTAGTAGAGTGTACATCAGAATGAATTTGAAGCTAATATTTCAAGATAAGAACGTACATACAGTTGCTTTCAAACTCTGCACTGTTTGTAGGCCAGGTCACTAATCAAATTGTCACTGGCTCTTACACTTTTGTATTTAACCACGCATCAAGAATAAAGTGTTTTATCGTCTGTTTGATTACGTCTTTAATTGATTTTTCCATACATTTCTGCCATAAGTACATTAACTGACAATCACCACTGATAAGCTACTACTAAATATATTGCAGAAATGTCATTTTTATCATGAAAAGCGCTAAACAAATAAACTTGAATTGAAACTTGAATTTTACATTTTGGTTAAACATATATTGTTTTTCAAAAGACCTCTAAAGGAAGGAATAAAACCGCTTACTGTAAATCTTTCAATTCCACGAACAAAGTGCATTTATTCCTGCTCAATGTGTTAAAACACATAGTCAAGAGTTTCAGTAATTGAAGGTTTACATTTGCTGTTTGTTAACCTGACAGCAGAAATGATTGCACAGTTGTTTATATGCTGATAGACAGATAAAGAAAAGGGTTTTGCCCCTGGCTGACAGATTCTATCTGCAGATGTTAATACTGCACCACAATCTATTAGAGTACCAGCTGGAAAGTTTTGTGCTGTTCGAAGTACAACACAATGTGGGTTTGAGAGAGAGAGTGTCAATTAACTGAGCCAAAGTAGGCTTATCTGTTTTAAGAGTACATGCTGCTCTCTAGTGTTTACAATTTGGTATTACAATGTTATATAGCATTATAGGCACGTTTTAAATTAATATTTATTCATTTGTATTCATTGTTAATGTCACTGTAAGTATGTGCAACATTTATACATTTAAAGTAATTATTTATTAAACTACCTTGCAAATAAGGAAAAGCACAAGAAATGCATCATACAGTTTAATTAAATATCCCTATTCATAATATTACATATTGTTCCAAAGCAGTGCTGAAATACAATTCAGGATCAATTTAAAATAAATCAAATAAATTTCAACAGTAAAGATGTGCAAAAGCAAATGCACACTACATGTTAATACTGAAGTTTTTTATTATTTAATTTAATTTAATAATAAATTAATGAATATGTTTTGCTAAATGTTTTATTGTCTTTAATAATGTGGTATCCGTGTTATTTTAGTGTCACTGAGATACTATTGTAGTTTTTATTATTATTTTGATTCATTTTAATTTTAAAGTTTTAGTAATTTTGTTATATGTTTGTGTAATTTTTATTGTTTAGTTTTATATATGCTGTATATTTTTTATTCATTTTATTTCAGTTTTATTTTTAGTTGTTTTAGTACAAGTTAAACTAAATTAAAATGAGAAATGCTGCCTTGACAACTAGCTGAAATAAAATGTTTTTTATATATTTTTTAAGGTCTTAATTTTAGTTTCAGTTTTAGATAACTATAATGGTTACTATTATTATTATTATTATTAATGTGTATTATTAATTACCATTTGGGAATCATTCTGTATATTATTATGCTTTAAATGACCTTCACACTGATTTGTAACTAGAATTAAATGCTACAATAACAAATAACTTTTTTAAAGTCTAATTTTTAATTTAAGTATTTTTATGCATTTATTTATATATTTTTAATACATTTATGAATGTTTTACTAAATGTTTTATTGTCTTTAATAATGAGGAATTACAGTTTGGGCATCATTCTGTATGTTACTAAGCTTTAAATTATCTGTACACTGATTTGTAGTTTCAAAAATGCTCCAATAACTAAAGTGTTTTCAACCAAACATTGATCTCTCCTCTCTAATGTGTTCTAGATCAAGCATCAGGTGGCACTTTAGTGGTCACAGCAGTGCATCCGTTCACCGGTCAGCAGCCTGGAGATCTGAGCTTTGTTGCAGGAGATCGCATCAATGTTATCACCAAAACCGACTCGCAGTATGACTGGTGGGAAGGAGAACTAAGAGGGCAGGTTGGGATCTTCCCAGCTAATTTTGTGTCCTATAGCTGAAAGTGCTAAAAACGGCCATAAAAATCGCAAATTGGTGACAAATGATGTCTGGCATTGAAGGGTCCTTTTCTTTTGCACAGTTTGAAATGACGTTTATGATGAAGGTGTATATTTTTAGGAGCACTTGGGGTCAGTGTTCCTCTTAAAGGCTGTATTAAGGGATGACAAGGGGTGTGTTTTCAATGTTACTGGCATTGGTGAAATATTTTCTTTTCATTTTGGCCGTTCAGTTATCGGTATGTGGGTTGACTACTAAAGGGTTCCCGTTTTATTAGTTATCAGTCCATTTTTAGTTATGCTATGGTTTAGAAACAAACTAGAATACAATTATGCTTTTTTATGCGTACACGAAGACACAGAGTGACACTGTGGTATTTTAAGTAAAGTTGCTCCAGGTATTTGAAATATGATAGCACAGTAGTTCGCCATCTGCAAAAACACAGTGGCACACGGCTTCTTGGTGTGCCATTTTTTTTTTCTCTGATAATAACTGCACAGCTGTTACAAACAAATGTTAATACAAATGATAAGCTACATTGTTTAAAACAAGCCTTATTTATGGTTTTATGAACTATTAACTTTTATTTAACCTCACATCTGTCTTGTACTGTTGCTCTGAAAAAAAAATGGAAAATGGTGGTTTTTTTTAAGGAAGTGTTTGAATGCTCTCTTTGCTTTCATTTATTGCTGTTTGCACACATGAATGATTGTTTTCCTACTGGTTTTAAATGAAATGTATATCAGTTCTAATAAAGATTATTTCCTACATTTGTTAACTTGATAATAATTTGTCTGTAGTGCTGGTTTAAGATTTGATTTTTCTTATTGTAATATAAATGAGTAATAAGTTAAAATATATCACATTGACACTTGCTCATACTTAATGTAGTATAATGAACGGTAGTTTTATTTGCTTAGACAATTGACAGTTGCTACACTCCTTGCCCACAAGGTGTCATACAAGCTAGTTTCTGCACTGCTGTTAAAAATTCTCTTTAAATAAGCAAATTATATTCTGTAATGGGCAACATGTCAATTCTTTTTACAGCTATTAAGAAAAACAACTACAGTAATTTTGCAGCAGAGGTATACATAGATAAATGTGTATATATAAATTACTGTATATGTGTTGAGAATTGTTCCTGCTGAAAGGAAATACTTTAATACATATGGGAGACGTTAATTGCTCATCTTAAATGATTGCCGTACTTGGATCTTAATAAATGATCACTTTGTTAAAGTTTCCTAAAGAAAATGTAAACGTTCATAAATCACAAGTCTAATACTGATAGTTGTCATTTTAAGAAGCAGCTGGATTGGAATAATATAATGAAATGGTAGAAAAGTTTAAGACACATAATTCAATTCCAGCAACTATTCTATTCCACTTCAGCAAACACAACAGAATGCAGTATGTCTGATATCAAGAAAATAAGACTATTCATTTCTTAGTGAAAAAAGTTAATAATCTAAAGAACCTTTTGTGCAATGGAAAGCATAAATGCAAATAAATATCCTTTATTTAAAAAAAATTTATTTTAATAGAAGGTGCATATTAACTCTAGTTGAAGACTTCCCATACAAAAACATTTTGTTTTTGTTTTTTTGCATGGCATATATACAAGCGGTTCAAAACAATGATTTAACCCGCTGTCTATTTCATTACGAATTACACAAGACTTTGCCCCCAAGTGTTTGTGAAGGTAAAAATGTTACTTTGGAAATCCAAGAGTACAGCAAAAGGTTAGAAAATCAGTTTGTCAATAAACCTTTAAAAAATACTTACATATTCAAAGCAGAAAACATATAAAAATGTGTGTGTGTGTGTTTTTGAACTGAAGAACTCCTATATAAAAATATCTACAATAGCAGCACTGAATCATTCCAGCATTAAATGAAATCTTGTTAGATATTCCAGTATCATAATCATACAGAAGTAAAATTCATTATAAACATATCCAAAACTCCATTACATAGTATTACTCCTTGAAATAGATTTTGAAAGGTACGTTTTGAAATGTTGACATCCCAAGGCATAAAAAAGACATTAAAGGGGTCATATGATGCGATTTCAAGTTTTCCTTTCTCTTTGGAGTGTTACAAGCTGATTGTGCATAGATAAGATCCCTGAAGTTGCAAAGACTAAAGTCTCAAAACCAAAGAGATATTCTTTATCAAAGTTAAGACTCTGCCACGCCCCCCTAAAACGGCTCGTTCTAACACGCCCCCATAAAAAATAATATGAAAAAGTCAATTTCTGCCATGTTCCTCTTGTTGATTATGCTGAGAAGGGGCTGCTTTCCGCTTGGTTCTTCATGTTCTTCTCCTTGGTAAAAGAAGCATCCGACTCCTGTTTAGGCTTCGTAGGCCAACCGACATTAAAACAAAAACATTTTTTTAATTAGTCCATAATACATACACTTCTTATTAAAATATTGATTATTTGGCTGCGGCTAACCAGCATTTATATCTTTAAACAAGTATTTGGTTATAGATAATGATATAGATGGCATGCTGATGAAAAAAATGCTGTCATGGCATGACATTTACTGTTAAGCTTCACACTAGTTTACAACACAAGTCTGACAGATTGTCCCATTGACCTCCCTGGAATTCAAAATATTCCATACATGTTCATATTTGTTTAGCCTGATACATTTTAATACTTACTTAAATAATATATGTAATTGCATATATTACACGATATATTAAATAATATTTTTAAAAATATTTTTTCCGTGTACTGTATCTCACCATGCACAGCATGGGAGCTTCAGTCTGGGCTGTTTCTCACAGTCTTGTACAGTGTCTGGTAAAGGGATGCCACTGGTCTCTGGAAGAAGCAGGCACAGGGCTGCACCAATGATCGGCCCACTGCTGTAACAGATCATAGCTGGTAGAGGGATCCTTCCGTCAGGGGTCGCCACAGCATTTATAATACAGGCCACTCGGTAACAAAGACTAACCAGGCCGAGACACTTCTGCCTGCATAGTGTAAAATGTTTTGTTAGTGAGAAAGAGATGCACATTTCATGAACAATAAGGTTTTTGGTGGAAAATCATTTATTACGTCTACAACTTTTTTCTATCCCAGCTTTATATGCAGACAGCTTCACTGTCCTCCTATAGGCAAAAGAAAGTAACTACGCATTTTGAGTTCTGACTGAAATCTCTCTTAGACTATGATCTGTCTTGTGATAAATGGGATTAGATCAACTATGCTCAGATTTAGGGAAAACTAAGTGTGATATATCAATCAACCAATATATCAATCAACTTTTCTACCAACTCAGTTTCAGTGTTGGTGTAAAAATGTGTGCGACAACTACTTATCTGTACATTCAGATTAAGTGTGGGAACATTTGATCTCTTATTGTCTATTACTGTGCTGTTAGCTTACATACTTAGTACTGCAACACTGCACACAATGTTATGTAACTCATGGGAAAAAAAAGTGTTTTATAATCTCTACAATGATTCAACATATTTATTGTCTACCTGCACGAATGTCTTCCACTGTGGATCAACAATCCAATATCTCTCTAACAGTGCCAGAAATGCCACAAATGTTACATGAAGTATATCTCAAGCTCTTTTGATTTGTGATTAGTGATGAATACTCTTACACATCAGCACATGCTCATACATTTTAAAATATTTTTTGAAAAGTGAGCTGTGATATAGATACTTTTTGAAATGTTAAAATTACTCCAAATTACATTTAATTTCACACAAACAAAGATGCTTTCTAGTCGTCTGAACCTGCACATTTTATGATTGACAGATCAAACACGGTTGACTCTAAGGTGTGTTTTGAACTTGGAGACTAGTTATCTAATTATCTGACCAATAATGTGTTTTATCAGGTAGGCCTGTTTGGATATTGTGTACCGTATTACAGTTGGGAACAGCTCAATCCCATAGAGCACAGAGACACAGTAGGTGTACTGCATACACAGCTTGCCCATCAGTGCCAGAGTCATAACAAGGGCAGGCATGTCTGTTCGGAAAGGATTGCATATCATTAGTTGTAAGAGTGATATTCTTCAAATAAAAATACACCTATGTAACTCACATCTACACTAAGCAATATCAGACCATGATCAGTCTGTGCTCATGTACTGTATTTCAATGACTGTGTCCCTCACCGCAGAACTTGGAAACAAGGAGGGACAGCATACAGGAAATGCCACTGAGGAACAGCGACCCCATGCTGAACGGCCTGCGGCCACATCGCTTCACCAGAAATGGAAGCAGCAAAGAGGGAGCCTCTGAAAGCCCAGAGAAAAACTGCGCCAGATAGATATTTACACCGAAACTTCCCACACTGAAACAGATCCCATAATAAGTGAGAGCAGATGCAAAACTGTAAAAAAACACAAACAAACAAAAAACACATTAAAACAATCTTTTTTAGGTAGGTTCATATAAGCAGCAAACTGTTTGGATAAAAAAGATATATTGATATATATAATATATAATTGATATATATAATATAAAGATATATTGATATATATAATATATATATTTATATATATAATAATAATAATTTTATATATATATACAGTGGGTACGGAAAGTATTCAGACCCCCTTAAATTTTTCACTCT